TTTTATTATTTTTTAAAAAAATATTTATTTACTAACATTTCTTAGTTTCACATCTCTCCTAAGAGAGAATATGTAATTTAAGTTTGAAAGTATTCTCAAACAATTATTTTTATTATTATTATTATTTTTTTTTGCCTAAACTATGCTTTTCTTTCTCATTTAATTTTCTTAAAAGGTGGTTTCATGTCATGTGCATTAGTCAACATCTCAACCAAACAGAGTCATTTACAAGATTCACTATCTTAACATTTTCTCTCTCATTTTTTTCTCCACCTTTCAAAGTCACCGTTCACAACCTTGCCCTTTTTTTTTCTTGCTTTCTTATTCTATTATACTCTCAAATTCCCACCAAATTCAATATTTTTTTCTTACAAATTTGCCCCCCAACTTAGTTTTATTTTCCCATCAAGTAATTCTACCTTGTCAGAAATTTGACTATGACTCTTGTGAGATTTTAAAAAGTAGTTTCCAAATAAAACAAGTTTGAACGCAAAATAATGTTTTTGAAAGTTATGAACTCGTTTGTGACCATTTTGTTCTTAGAAAAGCATGATGTGTAACAAAATTGAAGATTTCTAAATTTCTAAATATATAGGTTAGAAAAATCTCACGGTTATGTATCTTTTATGACTTGTCTAAAGGAATTTGACTTGATTTTTTTCTGTTTGATCGAAGATATGTGTCAATTACCTGAGCTATTCTCTATTGGATGAGTTTTGATTTGATTTGCTTCTATATATATTTTGATTAAAAGGACTTATCATTTGAATTTAATCCGTTAGATTAGTCTAAATTTTATCTTGAACTTATATGTCCTAATATATTTCAATCGATGTCTTGACCAAAATATTAAATTAATGCCCCCAAATATTTATGTTGGGGACAAATAGCCTTGTCACATAGAGAATGGAAAAGGGTCGGAAGATGAGATCTTGCTTGAGACCACCTTCAGGGAATCAACCTTCCATACTTAGCCGTAAATGCCATAGAGACACTCACTTGCATTGAAGGTATATGATATAGGTTCAACCATAGGTACCTGATAGCTCGATCTTCGGGATGACATCAACAATCGCCTGTCTGATAGTTTGTCGGATCCTAACCTATAAATAAAGGGTTAGGACTCACTTCTACATCTAGTATCACATTCTAGTTCGGTTTCTTTACTAAGGTATAACTTAACTGACTTCAACATCAAAGTGTTTACCTCTTTTGTGCATGTCTTTCTTAGTCAAAAACACTCAAGCTCTTTTAGTCGGCATTCTTGATCGATTTTGTTGAACAAACAGTTTACTTTCTAGCTCATTCAATTTCCAAGATATCGATTGAGTCAATTGAAAAAGAAAAAAGTTAAACAATAACAACAACATAGATAAATTTAGATAGTTCATATTGAGAAGGATAAGATTGGATTACACATATCAACAATATAGATAAACTTAGATGGGGTTTCATATTGAGAAGGAAAAAAATATTAGATAAAAGACCAAGTTTACGTTCTAACTTTTTATATATATAATATTTCAATTTTAAAAATTTAGGAGGTAAATTAGATAGAAACAATAAATTTTTTATTTTACATATACTAAAAAAAAGTATATATATATTTCTTCTTTACCCTAGTAATAATAATAATAAGAAGAAGATGAACTATATAAGAAAGTAGGTAGGAAACCTACTTCTTGGCATGTAGCCTTTTTCTTTTGATCAACAATATTTCTGCTATCTAAATTTATTATTATTTTTTATATATTAATTTTTCCAAAATAAATAGTTCTCAAAATTGGAAAACCTTTTATAAATAATATCGATTGTTCCTTTGCCAAAAGATAATAATAATAATAATAATAATAATACTGATTGTTTAGATTTATGAGGTGAATATCCTCTTAGCTGTCTGAAACTAAAAGGATCCAGTCCAGAATATTTAAATATTTTAAAAAATATTCTCAAATAAAAATTTAACTAGACTCTGTTATACCTTCCATCTCTACAAAAATTTCAATTTTAAAAATCTCAATAATTATAACTCTAATTAAGGCTTAAAAGTTACCAAATCAAAGTTAAAGCACAAATATAATATAAACTAAAAATTATAGAAAAGTAAAGGGTGCAAAAAATACCCCTAATTTTGTCACCTGTATATAAAAGGGCTTAGGTCCTTTCAAAAGTTTCAATAACATCTTTTACTTTTTATAAACGTTTCAAAATATTTTAAAAAAAACATTTGTTAATATTTTGAATGAAAAGTTGATGTATTAAAATCTAGAACGACGTGACAATTAAAATGACAATTATAATACTAATTTTGTCGTAAAAGTCTTCTTCCTCAGTTGTCAAGAGAGTTTGCTTTTGTGCACTATTTTCTTCTAATCTCCTTTTGAAAAAATATAGATTCTTCCACTTTTTTTTTCCGACATAATTCAAGTAAACTTTCGCGTTATATGCCATATCATTTTAGATTTTGTCACGTCAACATTCCATTAAAAAAGTTAACACGAGGTTTGCTCAAATAGTATTTTTAAAACGTGTATAAAATGTAAAAGATAAAGATATTTAAAAAGAAAATGGACAAAATTGAGAAATATTTGGTATGATTTAGCCAAAGTTTAATAGGAAGAATATGATGCCACATCCAGCCCAGATAATTACATTACACGTAGGGCATTGGTGGGTAGCGGCTAAAAGAGAAAAAGAAAAAGAAAAGAAAAAAGTAAAATAAAGAAGAACCGTATTATTTTATTTATGGTCGAGTGACTGGACCGGTGGGTCCGGTTTAGCGGACTTGAAGCTGTTATAGAAAGCAATTAAATGTTCAGAAAATAAATAAAAAGGAAAAGCCAAAAAGCTGATTGGAAAAAAAAGGGAAAAAAAAAAAGAAATTGTAAAAGAAGAGGGGGCGTCCGTGATGGAGACTACGCATTCTGTACCACGCGCCTGGTGTCACTATCATTACCCAAACTTTCTCTCTTTCTCTCTCTTCTTTCTCTCTCTACTTTGTCCCCTTTATATATCGATCTTCTCCGCTCTGCCGCCGCACCCCTCACCTCAACGCCGCCTCCCCTTTCCATTTTTTCTGATCAGCGTTTGAGTTCCACTCGCTCCCATGGAGGATCCCACCACCACCGCCACCGCCGCCGCCTCCTCCAAGAAACGCCTCCGAGTCGACTCACACGACTCGGACTCCGACTCGCCGGAGGTCAAGCGAATCAGAGACGACCTCCTCGACCTCCTCGAGGATTCCGACCCCGATCCCGCCGCCCAGGATCTGGATTCCGTCATCAAGAGTTTCGCCGAGGAGATCTCCCCGGTCTCCTCGCCGCCACTGCCGCCCGCCGCCGAGTCCTTGCCGGAGCTCGGCTACCTTCTGCTGGCGTCCGACGACGAGCTCGGCCTGCCGCCGTCGGACGGCTCCACCAGCCACGCGCCGGAACCCTCGTCGGAGATCGGAGAGATTTGGGGATTTGAGGATCCGATTCCGGGTTACGACTCGTTCGAGTTGGGGGAGGGAGAGAGATTTTACGGCAACGAGACGGAATATGTGGCGTTCGATGGACTGTTTGAACATTCCGATGTGTACTCCGTTTTCTCGTGACGGCGAACAAAGCTCCGCCGCCGAAGTAGGAGGAAAGAGAGAATTACTTTTTATCTCTGAAATGAAAATATAAAAACCCACACCCATCTGTAAATCTTTTTTTTTTTATTATTTTTAATTAATTCCATCACAGAAAAATGAAATAGGGGTAGCCAGATTTTAAAACCACCACATAAATTATTATTATTATTTTTACTACTAACTTATTAAGATAAATACTTATTATTGAACTTATGTTTAAGCTATGCTTCTTCTTGGTTCCTATAATTTTAAAATTTACAACTTAATATTTTTTTACAACATCTGCGGAGATTCAAAATCAAGACGTTTTTGTCAAAAATAAGAGATATCTTTGAGTGGACATTTACCACTTAGATCTTATAGGTTGAGTCTAATTTTAATTTGGATGCTGTGGTTTTAAAACTTTTAATTTGATCTATGTTGTTTGAGTTTTGTTTCAATTTGGACATTATAATTTGGTTAAATTTCATAAATTGTCATTAAATTATGTTTTATTAACTTAAAACTCCTACCTCTTTCTTTCCTTTTTCTTTACTCACAAGTCACAATCAAATTTCTTTTTTGGTACAACATCTCGAGTGGGAGAGACTCACAACGTTTTAGTCCAAAACAAATGCATTAACTCGTTGAGCTAGGTTCAAATTGATAGCTTGCTTAGTTATCTGAAAAATTTTCCATGAGAAAAAAATTTATGAATATGATAATAATAGGGATAATTTTTAATAGAAAATACTTGTTTTCTTAATAAGAGTAATATTGTCTTCCTCACCATTAAATATTTGACAACTAAGAGAGAAAAATACAAAAACATATATATCTTTTTAAATAATAATAAATTGTAGCGAGGATAAAGTTCCTCCTATCGTTGAGGAGACAAATATTTTCCATTTTTAACAAAATTGTACCTTTTAAATTTATAAGGATGAAATTGAAATTAAACTCAAATTATATAATATCAAATTAAAACTATGTTCAAACTACAAAAAATCATACTAAAACTTTTTAAATCATTCATATCAAATTGAAATTTTGTCAAGTCCATGAGGATGAAATTAGTAATTTAACAAAGTTAAAATTAAATTTAGGTGGACATGGATCTGAATTTTCCTTTTCACCTTTTTTATTTACTTCTTCCCAACTTTTAAAATGGTAATTTTTTGTCCCTAATTTTTTAAACGATTTTGTCCTTATTTTTGGTTAGTGAGTAAATTTTGAATAAAAAAAAATTGGATCTTGAATTTTTTTTTATAATTTAAAATATAAATGATTCATAAATTAAAGGTTTAAATATTTAAATTTCATTATAGTCCTTTTGCCTATGAAATTTTACGATTATTTTATTTTGGTTATTTAGCTCTCATACGGTCTATTTTAACCTTTAAATTAAAAAAAAAAAGGTTATGGTCTTTACTATTATATGGATAACGTGGTTGAGTATGTGCATAAAGTTGTCAATATTGACTCGCATTGGAGCAGTCGGTTAAAGCTATCCTTCATTAGATAGCATAATTAATAAGAAGATTAAAATATAATAAATCTAAAAATTTAAAGATTACCGTAGAACTTTTGAAAATTTTAAAATTAAAATAGTTACTATTTTAAAGTTGGAAGGTTAAAACAGACCTTTTGAAATTTGATAAGTCACCAGATATAAAATTTTTGCAAAAAACGTAATAATCGTCCTTCCCAACCTTTTATGTTTTTTAATCACCATTTTAAAAATACAATCAATTTTTGAAGAAATTACGTGTTTAACATTCTTCTAAATATTCATTCTTTCTCAAGTCATTTATTATTTTCTCTCTCTTCCTGCACTTCATACTTTTTCTCTCTTCTTGAAATTCTTATTTTTCTCATCTCTCTTTCAATTTACATAACTTTACCGTTGTTGGGTAAATATACGCTGTATATGTAAACTGAATAATACTAGCAGCAATTTACAACGTAACTGGCTACAAACGATACAAATTCAAACGACTTGATGAACACCACAAACTTGATTAAAATAGTCGAGGCACACTTTAACAGCGTTGACCTGAAGACAAATATTCGCTCAGCACAAGTTGCTAGCAGACTACAACGATCGTCTCAGTAGGATACAACGACTAACTCCGGTAGAACTGCAATCTCGAACTACTCGGATCTGACAGAACTCTTAGACACTTGCTCTTAACACAAACAAGAACAAGAACTCAAAAAGAAGAGAGAATTCTTGTGAGAGGAGGAGAATACTCAATTGAACCATGGTTTCGTTTCCTTCCGCTTTCGCCCCCCGGCGAAGAGTTTCCTGTAAAACCAATAATCATATGTGAGAATAAAATAACACTAAGAACTCTCGCTCTCATCCGATAACAACATACAGAGACGGTACCTACCTCGACATTGGTGTCGTCTACAGTGTCAACAATATTTTGTGGTGCCAACGTTCGCCCACCGTGTGTATTGAGTCGCCGTGCATGTTTCTTGCAAATGGAAAGGAATGAATTAGGAGCCGTGCCGACAGTTCGATGCCCGAGCACCCAGCCTGCCGACCCAACCTACCGAATCACCACTCACGCGCCGTACGTCGAGCAAC